AAAAAAAAAAAAAAAAAAGACTTTTGATGAGCCCCTAGACAGAAAACAAAACAACAAAGCTAATGGGGTGAATATACATTTTACAATATTAGTGTTACATGTCCTAGACATAATGGCTGTATTGTGGTTACACAAAAGACTAGGAGAGGCATGCTCAAGAGTGAATTGTGTCATGTCTGTGTCTGCAACTGAACTCTCAAATGGCTCAAGGTTAAAAAAAATTGCACGAAGGGCAGCAGGACATGTACATGGTGCAAGATATAAACAATTGGTGAATTTGGGTGAAAGGCATTCTGATGTTTGTTGTATACTATTTTCAAGTTTTCTATAGGTTTGAAATTTTTCAAAATAAAAATGCAGGGAGGGGCATGCCGAGTGTTTCTGATGATCGGGTCAGGTATACATCTCTAGCAGAATCTACTTACATTGCACTAGTGACTGAAATCACATTACTTCCCAGATGGCCCTCTCCAGATAGTCCTCTTCCTTACAGAGAGAAAGTCTCCCTTTCACATCTCCCATCGGTTCTTGCCCACACTACACCCTCCCAGGGCTCTGCATGGTTTCTTTTCCAGATACAGTCCTCAGACATTTGGAAAGAACCATTCCATGCCCCTCTGGGGTGAAAGCGTTCAAGTACTACCACCTCTCTTCTGAAGCATGGTTTTAGTACTTAACAAATAAGGGTTATGGTGACTATTTGAGAGGTAATACTCACTGTCTCCAGACCCCTGTTCAACCAGGCCCCATGAGTGTTTTGGAGCAGGCAGGAAGAAAGGACTTTGACTTCATGTTTGAGATGGGTAGGTGTATAGAAACGGGGGCTTGGGTTGTGTGGTAGTGAAGTGAAGGGCATGTCGGGAGAAGAAACCACAATTTCTTGGAAACTGGGAGAGCCACTGTCAGTTGGAAAGCAGCCTGGAGTACTCCTACAACCAAGTCTCCTCCAGATGTTGCTCCAGGGCCACTAACCTGGTGACAGCTGGGGTCTCCCCGGGGCATTGGAATTGGGAGGAGGTGGGATATCAGATTCCAGGGACATGTCCTCCTAGAAGTGACAGGAAGAGAGAATCTTCAGTTAGACAAAGTTCTCAGGGCAGTTCTCCCACAGAAAGGAGCCAGGTGCAAATAACTTTCAAAAAGTTAGGGTGGTCATAACATTTGAGGAAAGCTAAGAAAAATGTTGATTTAAAAGGGGAGGGTGGGGCTGAGGATTGAGCTCAGTGGTTCCGCCACCTGACTCACAAGTGCAAGGTCCAAGTTCCATCCCTGGCACTAAAATATAAATAAATAAATAAATAAATAAATAAATAAGAGGAAATTTGGCCTGATGAAAACAAAAGTCACAACAGAAATAAAGTTCTTAACAATTACCTACTAGGCCCTTGCCACCTTATCATCCCTTGGAAATACACTGGAGTGAGGGTAAGACGACACTACACTCTTGTCTCAACTGGAGAGGGCACCGAGAAAGAAATAATTTCTCTTCTCATTTGCATGGCATCTAGAAACTTCAAAGCAAGAGGAGGTGCTGATCTCATAGAATGAGAATATAGGCTCTGCTGCCATCAGATCATTTATAAGGCTGTTAAGATCCAACAAAGTGCACTCTCCAGGTTTGGCAGCAGGATAGGCTCTTTTGAGGGGGCTGGAGGAGGTGGTGACAGCTTCAGAATCAGTGGCTGGCAAGGCTCATTCTGATTCAACACTATGATCTTGTTTTTAATGGCCTCACACCAATACACTGGCTGTTCTTCCTACTGAAGAGGACATGTTGGAAGACCTAACTCATAATACGATTAGGTTTTGATTCCCCCAAGCCACCCTGACCAGGAGGAGTCAGAATTGGGTGGGGCCCATGGATCCTCCACTTAGCACATCTGGGCCTTCTCCCTTGTCCGCAGGTTCAGTTCTGGGTAGGTGGTGCTAACTCAACTAGCCCAGGGCCAACAAGTCTTTCTTCAGTGACAGTGACAGAACCTCTTCTACGCTACTTTTCTCCCCTTCAAAGAAAGATCTGCCAAAGGTGGGAGGAAACAAGTCAGACACTGTTACCTGGGGCTGCTGCTGAGGATGAATCCGTAGCTCAACTGGTTCAAGGTAGTTGCAGGGAACGAGCCCCTTCTGCAGTGCAACATCACAGAATCAGAAATGCGGAAGCAAAGTTATGCTCATCACTATCCCTACCTTGGACCAACCCAGAGCCATAGGGGAGAGACCAAGACAGACCAAAGAACTTGATTGGTCTGTAAATAAGGTAGCAAATACTGCTTCACAGAAAGCTCTGCCATTTCCTGCCACAATCCCATACCCTCAGGACCTCACTGAACCTCTGAATACCCACCTGCCCGTTGAACATGACTGTGGCCCAGTTATCATTGCCTTTCTTCAAGACAAAGACAATGTTTCCGGGCATGACCTGGAGCTCCTCTGGTGTCTCGGGAACAAACCCAAAGAGCACTCGGTGAGCCTCCCCTTCCAGAGCCCTGCAGAAGTGGAGACAGAAGATCCAGCCTACTGCTTAGTTTGGACCATATCCTCTGTCTGTTGTGGGACAAGCGTAATGAGACAGAATTGGCTCTAGATTCAGTCCAGGTATACACTAACTGCCCATGTGACCTGCTTGGCCTCCTAAAGGGGGCTGGCAAGAAACTGCATGCAAGGATGCTCCATGAAAACAGAAGACCATCCCCCATTTTCCATGGGGCTTAGGGTCCAAGACCCCCAGGGGATGCCTGGAACCACGCCTAGTACTGAACATTCTGATGCACAATTTTTTCTTATACCTCCATACACAAATACAATGTTTTTCCCATCTGAACTAAACACTACCACACACTGCGGCTGTACCTTTAAAGTCTGAAGTATGACAGCAAAACCAGCATAAATTTCTTCTGTTTTCAGAATTTCATGAGTAGAAAATTCTTTCTTACTCCAAGTCTTGGCCACCTCAGCATATGATTCTTTTCCTTTCCTTATTAAGTTGAGAACTTTCACTTTTTCACTTAATACAAGTTCTTTACAGCTCCTCTTTAGCAAAACTCTTACACTTTGGAGAGTTTAAATAAGGATTACTTGAACAGAAGCACTTTGATACCACAACAGACTATCTTCATGGTACAGACAGATGGCTACTAAATGCCTAATGGGCAGGTAACATGCAGAGCCTTGAGTGCTGGACAAATGAGATTCATGTCCCTGGTGGGAGGGAACAGGAAGTGTGAGATTTCATGCTTCTCAAAATGGAAAAATTTAAAATTTATGCCTTATTTTTGCAATTTTCCATTTAGTATTTTTGGACTGTGGTAGACTACAGATAACTGAAACCTCAGAAAGCAAAACTGAAAATAAAGGGGGAACAACTCTATATACTGTGGGGTAAAGATAAAAACAAAAAACAAAACACCAAAACAATACAAGATAATGAAGCTTATGACCCTAGGGTGTATTCCACCATTCTAGGGTGGAAGATCCTAGCAGGATGAACTCAGCCCAGTCTCACACATGGGTGGGCCAGGAGAGTAGGGTGAGGGGAAAGGCACAGGGAGAAGCTGAGTGAGAAAGATGAATGGGGAAGGGGTGGGAGAAGTCACTTAGGCCAATCTTGGGCCAGGGAAGGGAAGGAGAAGAAGAGCAAGACGTGAGCTGTGAACAGCGTGAGGGCTGTGTCCAGAGGGCTCCCCGGCAGCCTCGCCGTGTGCTGGGCAGTCGCTCCCCTTACTGACTCAAGACTCACTTCACTCCTCCGCACTCCTGGGCCGCTGCTTCTGCCATGGAGGGATGTGTGCGTGAGGCTGTGTGGTTGTCAGGCTCCTTCTGTTCAGGCTATGCTCCTCCCTTTCTTTTGTCTCCAGACATCCTTCCGTGTATGTAAGGAATATAGACTCCTCCAGCCCCAGAGAGTGTAGAAGTGAGCTCACCTAGCCCCCTTACTTCTGTGGTTACCTTTCACTTTCTCTAACCTCTTTTATTGGTATAGGAGCTAAGGGAATTCTTAAGAAAATTGTGGGTTATGTCATTCTGCTTTTCTTTTCTTTTTTTTTTTTGGTACCAGGAATCGAAGTCGGGTCCTTGCGCTTGCAAGGCAGGCCACCGAACCGCTGAGCCAAATCCCCGGCCCTATTCTGCTTTTCATCTTACAGAAGAATTCACTTCCTTTTCTTGAGTCCTTCCTCTTACTGCTTCAGAAAGCGTGTGCCGACAGAGTGGGAAACACCACAGGAAAGGGGACACCGCTGTAAGTTCCTGTCCAGACAGCTCTGGCCTCCCCCTCTTTTGAGGGGCCCTGATGCCAGCACAAAGCCAACCTCTGACCTTGGACCTTACCCCAGGAAAACTGCTGCACTTCACCAAGCCCTCACCACATAGGTTGCGGTACGCACTGCTGTGCGAACGCTGGGACACCATGTGGCCGCAGCCAGGCCCCGAGGGCAGCTCCTCCAGAGCCAAGACTCCCACCCCACTGTCTCATTCTGTCGCAACCTTGCAGAAGGAGCCTCACATTCCTAGAAAAGTTCACAGATTTAGTCTTGACTTAGCTTCCTCTTCATCCTCTTAAGAACTGCCATCAGCTCCAGCTTAGAGTTGGATGCGCTACATGTGAATTCAAATCTAACTTACCTGAAGATCTCTGGGGTTTTGGGTCTGGGTGGAGGCTCGGCTGCCTATGGGACATTCAGGAGCAATGAAGAAGGGAGGACAATGGGGGAAGAAGTGGGAGAGAGAACAGACTGTTAATGGTAATGTGAGCATTTTTCCAGTCCAGAAAATCCAAGGCTGCATTTCTGGCTGATAGGAACACTGCCTAAGAAGAAGGCACAGTGCATGCTGACTAAACCTTGGAAAATAACACCTCCCACCAGCTCCCCAGGCAGTGATCTCAGCAGCACAGTGCTTCAGCTGCAGCCAGAGTTGGCTTCTGGAGAAGGTTAGCTGTCACAGAGCAATGTGATTTCAGGCAGTGCTTCCGACTTTGAGCTCTGCCCCTTTCTCAGGACAGTGTCGAAAAGCTCCGTGCTATAATTAATGTCTGCTGTATCACATGACACCTCTAGGTCTTTAAAATCAATGCACGACCCACTGGCCAGGCGAGAACCTTCTTCTGATGTAGATTGCCTGTTTCTACATTGAATATCTTGCAGTCCATTTACCTGGGCTTCTTTCCCCTCTTGTGGTCCTTTACCTGAACTGAAACCCAAAGCACTTGGGCTTTCTTCAACTTTATCATGAAGAAGCAGGTGAAGGAGTCTGGATGTTGGCCCTCCCCCCACCCCCCAGCCCCAGCATTGATCGTACTCTGGTCCAGCAGTGATCATCCTGACCAGCGAGGCAACCAGTGCTGTGCTCCTGGGTAGTGCTCAGGGAGTGTGCAAACTGCGGGGTAGCTGTCTGTGCTCAGGACACCTTCTTCTGTTGGGTCAGCCAATGCTCTTGCCCACTGCTGCTCCTTTGCAATAGGGCTCATATGTTACCCTCCTCTAGACACAAGGAAGCTCGGTCTTCGTTTCTAGATTCACTACCACTCTGCTCATCTGGGACCATCTGTCCAAGCCCATTTAGGGCTGAAAAATGAGTCCCTCTGACCCCCAGCCTGCATTGCCAAGAAAACCCCCAGCACAGAGGCAAATGAATGGGGCCAGGAAAGCCCAAGGCCTCGCGCTCCAGGCTTGTTCAAAAGCCTTCCACAAGCCGGCCTTGGTGGGGCAAGGCTATAATCCAGCACTCGGGAGCCTGAGGCAGGAGGATCACAAGCTTTAGCCCAGCCTGCTCAATTGAGGGACCTACATGACACTGTCTCAAAAGGGGGCAGGTGGGGCTGGGGACATAGCTCCAAGCAAAGGTGCCCCTGAATTCAATCCTTAGTACTGGGAGAGGGGATCTCTACAGCTGGCATTTCAGTTTTCTGAGGGAATGATCAAGGCTTCACAAGACAAAAGATCATGAGATTCCAAGATTAGCTGACATGGCTGAATTCCTGACTGGCCCTGGACACGGGGGCTGAATGGGCAGGCAGTTCCTCCAGCAGCACAGAGTGGCTGGCAAGGAGCCCTAGCAAGAGCAGCTCAGTACAGCTCTCCCCAGGAGCTGTTTTCCCGACATCTCTGGAGACTTGGTCCATGAAGCAGGGCAGACCGCTCACCTGCGGCTGCAGAGGGGCAAACCCGGAGAAGCTGTCTTGATCCACCACAGATGCCACAACCTGAAAAGAGGACAGCAGGGAATGAGGGCTCTGTGGCCCTGTTTTCCTGTCTTCTAAGATTTCCTCCTTTCTTACACTGCAGATCCATGTTCACTCGTGCCAGTACCGGAGTGGATGGACGGCGGCTAAGGATTAGATTACTCATCTATACTGGAAGTTTCAGCAATCCAAGAAACTAGCTCTCACCTCACCTCCAGTAACCTAGCTCGCTCTTTCTCTCTTTAAAAAGACATTTGTTTAGTAAAGTGAAATTCGTATAACATCAGGTTAACCATTTCTAAGTAAACAAGTCAGTACACCCGCCATGCTGTGCCCGCACCACCTCTGTTCAGTTTCAAAACATTTTCATCATCCCGAAAGAAAATTCTGTACCATTAAGCAATTGACCCACAGTTCTCTTTCCCCAAAGCCTGGAAACCACCAGTTTGCTGTCTGCTTCTGTGGATTTACCTGTTCAGATATGTTATATAACAAAAGGAAGTACAGCATGTGGCCTTTTGTGTCTGGCTTCTTACACACAGCATACAGTTTTCAAGGTCCGTCCTTGTCGCTGTACGTATCAGTGTTTCCTTCCTTTTCTGGCTGAGAAATTCTCCATTATATGGATATATCACGTTTTGTTTATCTATTCATCCACTGATGGATACGTGGACATTGTTATCCTAAATATGTGTCAAAGTCAAATGCAGTTTTGAATTGGGACTGCTGCCGCAAGTCGGACCCTGTCTGCAAGGATTAAGGCCTGAATTCAAAGTCCAGTATGCGAAGGGGTCTGGTCTTGGGGCTATGCATAGCCATGAGACATGAGCTACAGGAAGCCTGGAGCCCAGCATGCTCTCTCCCATAACCTGCTTTCCTCTCACAGCAGAACCTTCTTCCCCTTGGCTCAGCTCCAAGGCTCAGCATCCCGAGAGCAACCTCAGGCCAGCAGGGAGAAGAAAGCAGCCTGGAGAAAACACTGCAGAAATAGTTGCCTGTCCTTTAGCCAGATGCTGTCGCTGAGCCACGGTGAAGACAACTCTTCTCAAGCATCCCTACCCCCTGGTCCCACGTGGCCCGGGCAGAGGCGCCTCGGGTGCCTGAGAACTCCCACCTACCGTGGCCTTGCCTAGGTAATCCTTCCTGGCCAGCTGGGCCACTTGTCTCTCATTTGGTCGAAACAGCCTCCCCACTGGGATCACCACCGGCTCATACAGCTTCTGCTTCTGTAACACAGAAAGCAAGGGACGGTCACATGCTGCTTAACACTGACAGCTCGCTCTGAGAATTGTGTCATCTCTTGATTTCATCACCGTGGGAACAACACGGGCGCCGTTCGTACTGCACCAGCACTACTGAATACGCATCTTCACACTGCTGGCGATTGTAGTTCCTAATCTGGAAACAGAGGTGATGGTACTTGTTCAGCTTTCCTCATCAAATGACATAGGATTCATTGGAATGACCTCAAGAAAGCACTTTTTCCAAATTGCTTAGGATGGGGCTTGTTATTATTCTCGACTGTAAAGTGGAAACAGTTGGTTTCCATACCACCCTGTGTTGCAAGGCCACATAGACATCTGCCAGTGGTATTTGCCCAACGGCCTCTTTTCCTAGGGGACAGCCCCCCTCCCTGTCTTTGTAGTGTCCCAGTATAGTATCATCCGTAAGGCATCCAGGACCCAGGCAACAGTCATGATAGTGCTCTCCTGGGACTGGCATTGCTGATATGGACAGCCATATAAAAACTGACCCGAGCCCTCTCCTCCCTGGTGCTTTGAGCTCAGGTCCATGGGCTTGCAAGGCAGGTGCTGGAACCAATGAGCTAAATCCCCCCCCCAAAACTCTTTTGTTTTGGTTTTTTTGTTCTTTTGTTGTTGTTTGCTTTTTGTTTTGTTTGGTTTTGGTTTTGGTTTTTTGAGACAGGGTCTCACTATATAGTTGAGACTGACCTGGAACTCACCGTGTAGCCCAGGCTGGTCTCGAACTCACAGCGATCCTCCTGCCTCAGCCTCCCGAGTGCTGGGATTACAGCTGTGCGCCACCACGCCCAGCATCTAAAACTCTTATTGAAAACTAGTTTCATTCTCCAGTGCACTCAAATCCTTGGTAATTTTCACCATTTATCCATATAATCAATACATTGTTGCTGAGAGGTCCTACGTGCCTGGCACCATGCTCAGCTTTAGGACAGAGATGAACAAACACAGCCTCTGTCCTCACAGTGCTTGGGGGCTGCACAGCACCGCTCAGTACCTAACATCCTGTCTCCCATGGGAGCCGGGCTTCCGTGGAGCCCTAGTACAAGAGGTGTACAAGCTTTTGGGCTTGGCTGCTTGGCACTGGTGGTAAATGGGTGATGCTGAAAGAACAAGGTTTCCCAGCACTCTCCAAAAGGAGAAGCTCCGTCTGTGGTGTCCTCTGAAACCAGTAAGCACCCAAGGAAGTCCTGTCACCACAGCGTCACCACCACACTCACCCACACACTTTCCATGGCCTTGTCAATCTTGGAATGCCTGGGCTCAGACTTCATGCTGCTTGCCAAAGCCAGCTGTTCTTCAGCCTTCTTCCATTCCTCCTTCTTGGCATACATGAAAGCGATGTTATACAACACCTGCAAAGGCAGAGGCCACAGCATAGAACTCGAGGCCACTCGAATCAAAGTACCAGGGAGGGGCTTACACGTACACACGGGAAACGTGGCCTGGTGACATCTGGCCTTCCCCAGCTCGCCTGAGACTATGTTAAATATCAGAAGATTCATCTTGCTACTGAGTCATGTCAAGCACAAAAGTGGTGAGAAGGTGTAAAGGCAACATCATGCGTGTTCTTTCAACGACTGAATAGGTCAGAAGAAACAACTTCTGTGTTGTTTTAGTGTGGAGAAGAATGACTTGTCCAAGTCCCCGTCAAGAGGCAGAATTGAGACTAAAATTAGGGTGTCCTCCCAGTCCAGCTCCTGCCCCTGAGGCTGGGCCAAACCTTTGGAAAGGTGCAGGGTGGGGAGAGGGTTCCAGATGCATTGTCCTGCAGGGGCACCCACAGCACCTGGCTTGGGTCACCTGAGCTGAGCAGACTGTAACATAGCAACGTGAGTGAGGAAGCTGCACAGACAAAATTCAGTAGAGCACAGAGCCCACAGAGGACTTTACCTGGGGTAGGCAGGAATGGAAACTTCAGTCATTTTCATATTTTGCAGGTCTTTAACTGGGGTATGGGCTATGAGTATTCGTTTTATTACCATGCTTCACAACTTACACATAGAATCAAATAATATTTTAGATGTATTAGCAAGATTTTTAAACACCTGCTTGACTGAAAAAAGTAGAAAAGATGAGGATTTTACGGAGATGAAGGGGTGTGACTTTTAAGAACAGGCTATAAAAGGCTTGACGCTCCTTCTTACCTTCTCTTGGTTGTTTGCTGTGTGGGAAACTGGAGGCCATGGCATGCCAAGACTCAGGCAGCCCCAGGGAGGAGCTGGTGTGGGAAGAGCTGAGGCCTCCTGCCAAGAGACACTAACTTGCCAGTGACGGATGGGGGGCAGAATTGGTCTTTCCATGGAGCTAATGGCTGGCGCAAGATGATGGGGGCCAAGACCAAGCCCAGAAGCGACGACCTAGACTCCCTTCCAGGCCCATTTTTGAGCATCCCTGAACTGATGCCTGCTGCACACAGATGACTTATGGCTTGATTTAGGACTGGGTGGGGAGATTGAACTGTCAGCCTCGCACATACTTGAATGTGGTCTACCAGTAAGCTACATCTCCAGCCCTTTTCATTTTGAAGCAGGGTCTCACTAACCTGCCCCAGGCTTGTCTCAAACTTCCAATCCTCCCGTCTCAGTCTCCCAAGTGACTGGAACTACAGTCATGCACCATTATACCCAGCTCTATTTAGGATTTTTTGACTCTACAATGGTGCAAAAGTGAATATGCACTCTACAAAAACGGTACTTCAAATTTTTAGCTTTGACCTTTTCCCAGGCTAGCAATGTGCCCTATGATGTTCTCTGGCAGCATGGGCAGTGGCATTGAGCCATGGCTCCCTTTCAGCCATGTGATCATGAGGGAAGACAGCTGGGCTCTACAGCCATACCGTGGTGCTAGCTATGATGTTCAGTCAGGTGTATTAAATACATTTTCAACTTAGAATTTTGTTTTTTTTTGAGACATGGTTTCATTACATAGCCGAGGCTGGCCTCAAACTCACAGAGATCCTCCTGAATGCTGGAATTACAGGCATGCACCACCACACCCAGCCTAATTTAGGATATTTTTAATTTAAGATGAGTTTATATAGACAACCTGTAGCCATAGCAGAGGAGTGTCTGTACATGCTTGGCTGCCTATCTCAGCTCTGTGCACAAAAAGAACTCAAGGTGGTTCCAAACTTCCTACTGGTTCTCTGTCACCTTCTCCTAGGCTTTTCCCCACAACAAGATTTTATGATTTGAGAACTGGAAAAACCTTGCGACTGCTCAACAAGAGATGTGGTTTCTCACCATGGTGAGAAGAGAGGAACAATATTAGAAGTAGGGAAATGATTGGCGGCCCCCGTGGCATACAGGGTCTTAGATCTTGAAACAGGGAGCTTCATTTCCAAAGGAGCCCACTCAGCCTCTATTTCTTGTCCATCAGGTTGGTTCAACCCCAGCTACATGGAGAACATTCCTCTCCTCAAGTTCTGCTTTGATGCCACTGGGGAGTGATCTTTTTCCTAGACCCACTTGGTCTCCCAGCCCTTAAATCTGTGTAAGTGGTTCTCAATGAAGGCAGTGTTGGTCATCACAACCAGAGGCGGGGTGCTACTGGCATCTAGTGGGTAGAGGCCAGGGATGCTGCCAAAGATCCCACAGTACTCAGGACAGCGCCTACAATAAATTGTTGGGTCCAACATTTCAATGGTGCCACAGTTGAGAAACCCTCCTCTAGAAGCCGGTCAAATGCCAGCCAATTCCTAAAGCAAACCCTCCTCTGCCCAGACTGTGAGAAGTGGAGTAAGTTGCAAGCCTGCTCTAGGGTTGGGACAGGACCACATGTCCCCAGGGGCCCTGGGCAGCTGTGGACTCTATTTTTAGCCCTGAGCAACCCTGGGAATACTTCCTATGTCTGAGAAACTAAAGCAAAGGGACTTTTTTCCAGCAATTCTTCTAAATAAAGATCCATGACATTTGCAGGGATTCTAATTTTTTAAAGCTGCTGGTGGCGGGGGGAGCAGGAGGAGGGAGCGTTGTTTGGGAAAAGTCCATGAACGTGCTAAGGTGAAGCTGGTCATGTCTCTCCTTTTTGGTAATACAGAGAAGTCCTTCTATGGGAACTTTTTACCTAACTTTGTGCATCGAGCTGTTCTTTGAACAAGAGGAGCCAAATTTGTGCCAAATTATCTTTAGATGTCAAGTAAGGACTGGGCTGAGAACATTTAACATTAAAGAGTATGATCTGCCACCCGGGGATGGCAAGGTTGCAGCAGGAGCTACACGGAGAATGAGCCTGTGATTCTGGATTTGTCAGTAGGATGCTGAGCCAATAGCTTGCTAACTTGAATTGCTAAGTGAAACATTCAAATTATTACGAACACTTTGACAGGAAGCACATTGGCATCATCTCCCTCAGGAGAGTTCAGCCAGCTCATTTTGCATGGCCCTTTGAGCCAGTTAAGATTCACACCAACTAATGACTCTATGATGATCCTGCGGTCATTCAAGTCTTGCTTTTTTCTCTTTTGTGGAGCTGGAGGTGAAACCTAGGCAAGCAACTTACCACTGAATTACACTACCAGCACATATGAATCTTCTCTCAAGAGAAAATCTGACCTCAAGGCACAAGAGACAAGGTGACTTTCACAAGCACCTGGAGGTGTCAGCAAACCACAGTTCATCTTAACTGTCCACTGCTTGTCCAGCCACAATCTGTTCCTGCCCGGACCAGCACTGTCTCTTACCTCACAAGCGAACAGCTTGAATTGCAGCCCCAGGATCTTGTAGTCTATCAGCTGATTCCCTCGAAGCTGAGTCAGGGCCTCTTTTAGGTCTTTAATAGCTAAGTCATATCTGCAAGACAGAGGGAGAGAATAAACCAGTCCAAGACATAGAGGAATAAATGAAAAATAAATGTGTCTCTGCTTCTCCCCTCCTCATCCATCTCACTGGGAGAAAAAGCTTTTTCAATTCCTCATGGCCTGTTCTAGTTTTTCACCAACCCCAAAACCAAGGATTCCATGGACACTGTATGAACCTGCCCCATGAGGCTGTGTGTGACAACCTGGTCCCTCCAGACCTCCAGTCTGAGATACCCTCAGGGATTTTCTTCTCTGTGGACAGAACACAACTCATACTTTTCTGGCAACCTAGTTTGCCCCCTTCAAATAAAGCCTCCCTTCTCTTTTGAGGACCCTGAGCAGAGTCACCGCTGCCCACCTTGTGTCCCTACAGAGTCTCAGAGCTGATTCAGAGCACTGCTGTCTCCTCATATTCTCCTACCTCCTGCTCCTTGTAAGCTCAGACCAGCCTGGCCCAGCAAGTGTTAGGACTGCTGTCCTTGGAATGTTGGTAGAGAACAGGGATTGGCCACATCAACAGGGTTCTTGGGGTGTAGGCAGGACCTTGATTCACACTTCCAAAAGAGGTACCCAGGGCTGTGGCCCAACTCTGACCCCCAGCTGCGGTGTTGGGAATGCACCCATTGCTGGACTGCAGGGAGTGAGGAACAGCAAATAGAAGCCATCGAACCTATTACTCTACACAGCCTCTGGCCTGGCAGGGACAGAGTTGGCTGCTTGGTTGTGGCTCTTATCTGGACAACTAGGCAAAAAGCCCCCAGGTTCTCTGATCCCTCCAGGATTTCTCCTGGAGATAAGCCAGGAATTGGAACACAGGTTGGCAGGGATCCTCAGGAGGAAGTATTGTGCAGGAAAGCACCTAAGTTAGGAGCCAGGGGCCAGGGACCACATCCAGCAGGTCTGCCACTAAGTGGGAGGCTCCAGCAAGTTATTACTGTGGCCTCAGGCCCTGGTCAATAATGTGGGATCAGATTGTATACAAGGAGTATATTCTACACAAGCACATAATAAGAGGTCCTAGATCCAATTTCTGCAGTCAACACTGACTGGGCTTGAGTCTTGGCTCTGCCATTTATATCTGGTTACTTCACTTGTGTATGGGCAAGTTACTTTGGTTCCTTAAAGTCTGTTTCGTCATCTTTAGAATAAGACAATGATAAAAATAGTATATGCCTCACAGGGCTGCTGTGAGATTTAAATAAGATCATGTATTCAGGTGCTCAGGGAGTGCCTAGTGTACACAGTAATTCCTTTATTTTTCAGCTTTACAACTCTGCCAGTTAAACCCATGCACTAATTCATCACACGCTTGTTTAAGCTTGATTTACCACACATATTCAGGTATCATCAGGAGATGTCGAAAACATACACGTGTAGAAACTGAAACTCTTACCTGGACAACTCACAGAGGCTTAGAGCTGCCCAGGAGGGCCGGTTGGCTGAGAGCATCCTAGGGGAAGTGCACCCCGGGAGTTTGGGGGAGAAGCTGGACTTGCCGTCTCATTAGGTCTGAGGTACTCACAAGCAGGCTGCTGCCTTGGCTACAGGAGTGATGAGAGAGGGGAGCCTGGGTTTAAATGGGAACATGGCCTTCACTGGTATCCCTGCTCTTAACAGGGACAGCTGGAAAAGGATCAGAAGCAGGCCTTGCTTTAAGAAGGCACGGGTGATTCGAGTCATTGTCGTACATCTTTCAGGTCATCCTGAGGAGTAGGAGGAAGGCGTCACGGGTTTCTACACGAAAAGCCTGGGTAGTTGGATGGTTTCGCTGAGCCAAGAAGGAGCAGCAGGTGGGAGCTGAAGTGTCTGCTTCCTCCCCTCTGATTTCCTCCCAGAGCCTGACTGGAAAGCGGCACAAAGTCCCAGAGGGCATGCTCAAAGTGCGTTTGGCTTTAACCCACGTGGGAATGTACCTCTTGCCCGCTAAGTTGGCTCAGCAGATGGATTTCGGCTACCAAGAGACCCATCTGAGTCTACCTGGCATTGCACAAAGCCGGCAAAACCGTCTTTATAATCCTCTAGCCCACCAAGATGTCGGAGAGACCCGGGCCCCATGGCAGGGAGAAGGAATGCGGAAAGTATGCAGGGTTTGTATGATAAAAAGCAGTGGGGTGTCCAGCGAAGTGTCCGTTTATGAACATTGTTTGAGCACATCCACGGGCCTCTACTGAGTGCTCCAAGTGTTGGACCTGAGGTGTACCCATAGGGTGCAGTGGGAGAGGGGTCACTTTTCACACAGCACAAGTCTGAGCAAGGTCAACGTGCAAAGTGCAAAGCAGCTTTCAGCCCTGCCGGGCATGGAGGCACAGACTGTGGTCCTCGTAGCCCTTCTTCACAGTTCTCTTCTGTGCCATCGGAAGACTTCACTTCAACAGAAGCCAGCCAGGCAGCCCTGCTTGTCCCTGGTTATCTGCAGGCCCAGGCCCAGTGACATTCTGTGCGGCACCCTGGCTATGCTGACCATGTTTTCTTAGGCAGGGGCCCCACAGAAGCATAAACCTGGTCGTGACTTTTCACAGCTGCCAGCTCAAGAGGGTTCCTGATCATCATTTTTGTAATAGGCCTTGTAGAGGTTTCGTAGTAACCCCTGAAGTCCCTGCTTGTTTCTCTGCTACCAGTGCCCCATGCAGCCTGGAATCCCACAGCTCATTTGCCTGTCTTCAGGGAGCTGATCAGCAAGTGGGAAGCCCCAGTGCCCAACACCTTTGGGAGCTGCTGTGTCAGAGGCTCAGGTCCAGTCCTCCCTGGTTTGTCTCCTAGGCCAGCTCGGTCTACAGGGTCTCACCACTGTTTTATTTTCACCATCCTAAGAGTCCTGATTTCATGAGGCAAAAGTTCCTAAAGATCGCTTAAAGCCCCCCTCCCCTTTCTGATGACAAGGCTGGGGACAGAGAGGTAAGGCAGCCTGGCCAGGTGATCCCTGAGATGCCACCTGCCTCCTGGGAAATATGCTATGACTGTTCTGTTGGAACTTTATAATGACAGAAGAACCACACAGGGGAGGAGGGGAAACAGAGAAGCATTATCCATAACATTATCACCCGACTCAAGTCCCGCTACACCTGGAGGGCATTCCTAGGCCACACAGTGGGAAGTCAGCTCCACAGGCCCCGGTGCACTCATTGAAAAACAGCACTTGCAGCACATGCCCACTTCTGCCTTGCATCATAGTTTCTGGTCTTGGTGACTTGTTTCCCCCTTCTAATCTATAAGTTCCTCCAGGCAGAGATGGGCTCACTTCCACTGAATTAATTCAACAAGCATGTATCGAGGAAGTGCTAACTACCGAGATATCAGCATGCGCGTGTAGATTTCTTTTCCTAAGTCTCTTTCAGGGTGGTAGCGAAAGAGACAACTCCAAAAAAGAAAAAAATGTGTCACAGACTAAATTGATATTATAAAAGGAGGCACAAGAGAGGGACTGTGCGCTCTTCATCCCCAAACTTGAGTGTGGTAGGAGTACAAGACTGGTGACTGGGAAATCAATTTGGAAGTGATTGCCGTGGTCCTGTGAAAAATGAGGGTTTGAACCAAGAGAGCACCAGTGGGGATGAAAAGATACGAATATATTTACGATGTCATCCTGACCGGGTTTTGAGCAAGGGACATTCTGTGTTGATCCTAGGCACAGATTTAGGAGCTAGGTGGTTATAAATAGAGATTGCTGCTTTAGGAGAGGGTGCCCTTGCCCCAAACAGGTCCTCAAGGTTGACATGTGGACTTCCATATCCATACCCCCTGAGACTACATGAAAGGGTGTATGTGCCTGTGTGTCACTTCTGGGGAGACAGCCCCCACAGTTTGCCATTTCACAACCCCCGCGACAGTCATACAAGAGAAAAGGGTTGAGAAGAGAATGTTAGCTTTTTTTTTTTTTTTTTTTTTTTTTTTT